GAATAGGACCATGGCGTGTCCCACGGAGAACATCCACCTCACATTCAGACAGCAGTTGAGCGTTTCAGGTGAGGATGCTGGAGAGGACAGAAGTCCAGCAGGTGCGACACTGTTGAATTTGCTGGCTAGGAGCTGGAGAGGGACCTGTGAAGTCCCATAACCTGGGTGAGTAGTTTAGCTTTCTCCCTCCAATGAACATTATTTTGTCCTTAAATCACTAAGCATGACCTGCATCTGCCCTGCCCACTCTTCAGTTCTCTTCCCCAGCTATCACTGCTGTTCCTCACAGTTGGACTTAAGACTTGGCTAAACTAAGTCACTTTGATGAGCCAAGTTTGCAATTTTGATGCTCGTCTCTCTTTCTAGATATTATGCTTGTGTTGGAGCCTACTTTGCACGGGTGCCAATCCCCTTAAAACAGGCCCATTAGAGAGCGGCAGAATTCAACACTCCTCTATCGCACAATGCAGAGCTCGAGGAGCTTTCCAAGGGGTTTGGCAGGGCCAGGCAATGCTTTGACTGTGGTTGTGAAAGATCCGCTCTCTGAACGGAGTCACCTCAGGTTGCTCGCCCCTAGAGAAAACTCCTCTACAGGCATACACATGGAAGGGATCATCAGCATTTACAGAGGCCGCAAAGGTTTGGGATTTCTTCAAAGAGTTGGTAACCAGATTGTGTAAGAATCAAATAGCCTTGCAAATAGCTGTAGCCCATTAGTCGTGACAGCGAGTGATGGGCTGAATAAAATGTTTATTGTGGCTTATGAAGTGTCTCTGTACACATAACCTTGGGCAAGACCCAGAAATTCTGGGCTTTGCATTTGAAAGGCAGCTGGTTAAATAGGTGTGGCAAAATAATCAAAAAAGCACTGTTTATTTGCTCAAGACATTAACCAAGTGATTAACTGGGTAATGGGAGAGCCAGAAGAAAGAAGAAACCTTTCGCTTTGTGTGAAGTCTGTTTTTCAGACTTTCCACCAGTATTATACGTTTCTGGAAAACAAAACTAAGCTCAATATATCTCAACTCAGTCATGAAAGCTCTCCCCAGACCGAGTGATCGGCTCGGGGCATCACTCAGACCTTCATCCAGCTCCTCCTCCCTCTTTGGCAAAATTTGAAAGGCAGCAAAATAATTATAGCCATCGTACTGGCCAGTCTTAGGAGGGGTAAACGTTTAATTCAAGAGCTCTGGAGGACTTCATGCTGTCAAACCTGGGTGCCTCCTTGCTATTTAATTAATCTAATTATTCCTGTATTTCCCTTTTAGCAACTCGGCTTCTCACAGGAGACTGCTTCTGCTACCAGACAACGAGTAAATCTGCTGTAGATTTTTTTCCAGTGTCATTCCTGTTGTAAGCTCGTGCAAATAGATTATTAATTCTGTTTGAGAATTCTTACTTTCTTTGTTCCCTCCTGGTTGTCCATGCTCCCCACTCAGTCCTTCCTCATATTTTTAGAGATACTAATTATTTGCAAATTCTTTCTGCAGGCTTCTCATCTGCTGTAGTTACTGTGCTGTCTCTTAGCTTTGTAGGACACAGGGAAAAAATGTTCCTACTCCTTGAGAAAATTGCAGAGAAGCATTTTGCTGCTGTTTCTCTACTGAATCTCTAATTAATGTTAGATCGCTTTCAGAATATCACGTAAGGGTAACCAAAGACTCCCACCACTGCTGGTAACAAGCTGCAGAACAAGAGCTTACAGAGCGCGTAACTGGCTGAAAAGCATCACTGCCTTTCTGAGTCTAGGTGTAGAAGAGGAGTAATCCTCTGAAGGGCCATGGGGATACGGAGGGAGTGGGTAGGGTGCCAAAGCACAAGACCAAGGCCCTTTGAGATGCCATAGGATGTCCTCGCTGGCCACCAGTTTTTGCTCGAAGTGTCCCATCTGTCCTCTGTCACATCTGCCGGGTCTGTGCAGATGTCTCCGTGACCCTCAGCTGTCTAAAATGACATGAGAGTCACCTCTGGGCCCCTGATCCTCCCCCAGGGCCTCAGCTGGGATCAGACTTACCCCGGTTGTATCAAAGCCAGAATTAGCAGTAGCTCCGGAGCTGCAGCTGGGCTTTGGGCACCCCAGTTAGGATGTGTATACCCCCTTGGGGCACAGCCCAACGGCAGTGCCTGTCTGTGTGCGAGGGTGGATGTGGCTGAACATGCGGTAGCACACAACCGGCCCCACGGTGAGGAGGAAGAGGGCAGGGGGGGTCAGTCCCCCCATTGCGCCCCTGAGCAGGTGATGGAGGAGGCTGGCGGCTGCCCGTGTCAGTGCACGGTCCTGGAGAGGGACCAGGACACAGCACTGCAAGTGGGTGAAGGTGAGAGACCGGAGCTGGGGTTGTTAAATGAGTCAGGTGTGGGTGCGACTTGATAGACCCGAACTGGCCCAGGGCTGTTCTCTTGGTCAAACAGAAGAGCCGGGCTTTTGTGGAAGGAAGGTCTACGCTACCGGGAGCCAGGCAGGAGCCTCTCTGTAAAAAGACGGAGAAAACAACACCCGATCCTTCAAGTGCACTCAGCAATGAAAACAGCACTTCTACTGATTAAAGCGTAATAAATGTAATGAAAAACACTGTAAGCTATTAGTGACTGCTACCTGGTACGCATTTGTTTTAAGCCCCTTGAATGCTGATAACTATTTTTTTCCCTTAGAAAATCTTTTTACATTGTTGCTGTTTCCTTTACTCACCACATTTGCAGTCGTCACTTGTAAATTCAAGTAATGAATTCATGAGGAGTCTGGATGGCATAATAATACCGTCTTGCACGCTACCACAGCTACCACCCGGCAATCCCCGGATGCTTCACCTGGGCACGTGGATGAAGCCTCGCAGTGCTGTTCTGCCGCACGGGGAGGCAGTGAAAGTCCCTTCGGGCAGAACAGAAACCCTTCAGGGCAAGATATTTTTGGGTCCCTGGGGCAGAACTGTACAGGTCAGTTTGGTACCAACCCAACGCCTCCGGGCAGTGCCAGATCTGCTCTGCACACACGCTGCAGACAGCCTGCACATCTTCGGGAAAGTTGCCTCGCTGGGATGTGTCTGGCTCCCAGCAGACAAACTGGATATTGCACGTGCAGAACCATGTAGTACGTTCAGCGCTTCCGCACAACGGTCGGTCACTCAGGACACGTGCATTACGTTCACCCAGTACTTCTAGAAAGCATCAGAATAGCTGATGGTGCGAGCAGTTTGTGCAAGACAGAGCAAGGACTATCACCCTTCGCCGTATATGTTCACAGAGGAATAGAACCACATGAAATTACCCCCCCTGGAAATGTTGGACTCCATAGCTCGCGTGCTACGCAGCAGATCTATGCACGTGTTTTAAAAATGTCAAGGGGATTCAGATGCCTGGCATCCCGCTCCCATTCCCGAGTATAAAAAGAGTCTGCAATAACCGTGATGAACATTAGCTCTAATCAGAGCACAGGGAAGCAAAAGAGTAGCAGATAATTGTTAATCTGTTCACCATGAAACATTTAACAATACAGCTTCGTTATTATAAATCTGCCTGAATTCACTGATAGTACATTATTCAACACAATAAAACTGATAATTATGCGTTTTTTTATGAAAGGACTAGCAAAATGAGTTGTCTTACCCTCAGATAGCACTCAAATGCAGTTAGTAAGGATATCTACAATCCTATGCACTCAACAGCTCTGTAGCTCTAAAAGGACCAACCACACTTTTAAGTATCTTGCTGAACTGCAGCTGGATTCACCAAGCAGGACCTAACACAACCAGAAATACACTGTATTGCACACATTTTCCTCCACATACTAAATTGGGAAGTAAAACATTGATTTCTAGCACATAACCTATTCCTCCATCATTGACGCAGCTAGGTCTCTGCTGAAGTGTAAATGATCACTGAATTATTGAAACCTTTGTAATGTTGTAATGGAAAATGTTAATTTTAACAAGAGACACACAAATGCCTGCAAAAACAATGAATCAATCATAAGTGGGTAGATAAACAAATGCATTTTTATTTTTATTTCAGTGATCTGTGTGGCCCAGCAATGAACTCCAATCTTGAAAGAAATTAAATAATGATTTGCAGCTGGTCAGAAAATGGAAAGTCATTTGCAGAATTTTTGAAAAATCACAGACATTGTTCCAGTATTACAGCAGGAAAAAAATAAACACATTCTTGAAACTGATTAGAAACAAAAAAGAAGTTGTTTTTTAATAGTACTCAAAGCTTCACCTGAAATATTAAATGCAGACATCCAGTCATCATAAAAACTACAAATGTCATGAATCTGTTTACTACTGAGAAGGATTAGCTGAAGCGTACACCATGTTACAGCACTAGACAAAATGCAGCAAATTCTTTCCACAAAGGAACTGTATACAGTTCCATCATATGGTGCCCCTCATGTTTGCTTAGACAAAAAGAAAGAGAAAACTTGCTTCTTTAGTCAAAATTCTCTTTGGGGAGTGAAGGTCTAGGAGAGATGGAGAAAGAATGAACCGGTTCCTTCCAGCCGTGTCTCTCTGCCGCATCCAACTCTGCGGAAGCTGCTCTCTTCCAATTCCACAGCAACATCCTCCTGTGCCAGCCCACAGGAATGTCATGGAGGAAGATAATGCTCACAAGGTCTCTTTATTTTCGGTGTCAAACAGGAGTGGGATTTGGAGGTTGTCTGGAGGACAGAAACAGGAGCCAGGGTGCCCACGAAGTGCAGGCAACCAAGGCAAACTACAGCACCGCTGCTCTGCGCATGCTTCTTGAGATCAGCAATTAAACGGACCGGTTCAGGGAGAAGTTTCTGTCTGTCAGATTACACTATACAAGTTCCAATACAGCTACGTGTAGACTGTGCTATGCCTATGATGCCGGTAGGGCAGATCATTAAAGTACAACCTTGGAACATTTTCCATGATGCTGATCACTAGAAAGGATAGCCAAGCTGGAGCATCAAGATGAAAAGCAGCTTTCGCAATGGTGTTTATTGTCTTGAACATTTTCACGAATGTAATGCAATATTACACAGCTAACTATACGGTTTTATTAAAAAATCATTCATTGCCTCGATCCTTTCTGAAGAAGATCTATGTATTTGCGGACCAGAATATTCTGCCGATGAGGAATATTTTTCTCTTGGCAGGAATCCAAGCATCAAAATGTCGGCCTTTGTAGCTGTGGTGAGTAATCTGTCAGCAGGGAAACCATGACAGCCTAGAAGAAGAAGAAAAAAAAAAATCCAATCACATTGGAAACAGATACTCCATAAAAATAAATAAGGGGGAAATATTTTCCAGCTCTAAAGTCTTGTGTTGAAAATTATTGGTCTGACAAAAACTGCACACTTAGATTTATTTGCTAGAATTTCTGATGATGAATCAGGAAAGAGCTGAAAATCAGTTAGGATGTTCTGTATTGTAGCTGATAGGTTTTCTCAGCACGGACAAAATGTATTAATGGACAGCCTAGGAGAAATTCAGACAAAGCATTTAGATGAAATGCTGAGGCCTTTTTGCTGTGTTATATTGTATCCTCAGTTACTGCTAGGAGAGGCTGTAGGTACCCAAAGAGCACGCGGGCTTGCTTCTGGATTTCAGCAGAACTTCCATTAGCATCCGTGAGAGCCATACTAGACTAAGGGCTTTGACATTTATCCCGCTTTAGCTACGCTTTCTGTGATAAAACATGGAAAATTCTCACTGAGGTTAATAGTGTGCAATCTACCTCGCCTGCCCTCCCCTCGTACCCCAACAAACCTTGGTATGGCCGTGAAATGAGAGTAATGGGAATGTCAGCTAAATAAAACACGGTGTTGCAGCAGCTCTGCCGTCCTCCCCACACCTGTGTACATAACAAGCCCCACGCTTGCTTGGTTTTGACAAGGTATTACCTGGTTCACACTGTCGTGATTTCACAGCAACGTCTGACTGCAAATTGTTATTTTGGCCCAGAACTGGATTTACAAGGGTTCTCCAGGGGTTGTGGTCTTGTTGCCTGTCCTTCCTTTCCCTCCAGCACAGCTCAGTGTGACAGGGACGGGCAGTTCAGGCACACAGTGGGGCCTGAACATACAGCAGTGCAGCCCCTCGCTGCCACCCATGTCGTAGCTGCGCTCAGCTCTGATTGGAACCACAGCTGAGCAAATAATTTATTTTTCAGCTTGCTCTCTGAGCTGAAAGTGGCAGAAAATAATATATAAACAAGACCCATACATTCATTATTTTTATAGCTTGATAAAATACAAAGATGGCATTTTTTTTATCCTCCCCAAAAAATGTGCAGCTGGAACCCAAAGTACAGGGTTTATTTTCTTTTTAAAAATATTATTTAGGGCAATTAGAAACATCACCAAATTAAAATAAAACTAATACGAGCGCTTTTTGGAATTTTAAGGCCAAAACTATGACTTTAACACAAATTTGTTAATAATTTTGACCCGTGTCCAAAACCTGAGGATTTGGTGAATACAATACTCAAGCACTTCTTCACTTGGAGCAACATCTACAGTTCATCTGAGAGCTATGACAATGCTATTTCTGTTTGTTTCTTTCACCTCTGAAAGTTTTCACTAGCTTTTGTCAACCTGATGGTTCTAAAGCCGACAATAAATAACAGGCTGCTGAGATCTGGCAGTAATTTTTTGAAATTCTAGGAATGCTGAGAGGGGAGTTATGGTTTATGTTAAATGCCAAGTGTCCTCTCGTGGATCCCATGGATCACACAGTATTACCCACACCATAACTTTTCAGGGTCCTTCAAAGCTTTGCTCTTGGCAGCACTGTCTGAGGAAAAGTTCCCATTGGTGTTAGTGGCGGTTTTTCCTGAGAGAAAACTGCAGAATCTCTAGCTTTAAGTGTCTGGGAAATTGTAGTTTCTAAGACCAGTCCCTGGGACCTCAGCTTTTAACATGTTTTAAAACTGACCAGCTGAGTTAATCATTAGAGTAAACCCAGTGATTTAAATACCAAAAGATTACAGTTTATACTGTAGATTTCACTTAGTGATAAAAACTGGGTCAAACATCAGCAGATTATCATCAAAGTAGGTCACATTTGTGTCCAGAAGTATTTGTGCTATATATATACATATATATATGTTATATATATGTTGCCTATAGTAAAAACTGTGATGTGCTGTTGGGTGCATTTGAAACATATGTATTAACATTTACAATTTATTGAGGAACCAAGCTGAATCCGAGCCTGTAGTGTGAGGCAGAACAGAAGCTGACCCAAACCTCTAAGTACTGTTATCTTCTTGTTTTTTTACCATAATTGTCCATTTTCTGTTTTCAGCCTCCTGGAAAACCAGTGACCGTGGAGAATAAAATACTTCATCCTCAACTTCTTCAGGTTTTCTGGGTAAACAATGTAAAAAAGTCCAGTTGGAAGCAGCAGATTTTGCAGTCTGTAGATCAAAAAGTGTAAAAAAATAAAGATATATGGGAGGACATTAATAAAATCTTTAACTAGTAAAAAGGTTAACAAATTTTATATTAGCTCCTGCTCTAGTTACTTGGATGATGAACTCAGAAGAATTCCACTGACTTCAAAAGAATTCCTCATCTGTGAATAAGATGGGAATATCCCCAGTCAGTAAGAGTTCAGTGCTGACTTCACAAAAGTCAAATATTTACTCCTATTTCTCTGACTTTAGTAGAGGAGTAAAAACTCCAGTGACTTAGTGGATCAATAAAGTGCAATCTTCATTTGAATGTTGTACAGTAATGTAATACAATTGATAATTGCAAAAAGAACATACTAAACCATGATTTAAAAGGCTATATCTTTTTTTTGCTTTTGATATTGTCACTCATAATATATTGATCTAATGCCAATGAACAATGAATTAAAGCATTTTAGGCCACTTCAGAGACATACCCATCAACAGTATTTTGTGAACTTATATTAAAACACAGTCAATTAAACCAGTAATTCTATCAGTCAGGAAAATGTCCTTCTTATCTTGAACAATTAATAGTTTATGACTTTACATTTTCTCTAAGTGATTTTGTGCTGATAAGCATTTCAACTAGATGATTTTAAAGACATATATTTAATGCTTTATTCATTGACAGATATACACAAAATTGCCCTAAATGCTGCCCAGGCATTTAAGAGTTAATCTGTGAATAGCTCATTCTAAATATAAGGGATCATTTCTGGTAGCAAAGAGGAAATGCAAAGTCAGAAACAGTTTTTAGGTCATAAAGAAGTAAAGGGTTAGCTCTCCTGCACATGTTCTGGCGTTAGATCTCATTGGGAAGCTCTGAAAGAGGCCAAGCCACGTGAAGCATACGAGATAACTCAAATTTTGTTATCTTTGTGGGTTTTTCAAGCCAGAGGGAGGTTTACATGTGGTTGTTCCATGGCTCCACTCAAAAAAACACCAAACCCACGCTTTGCTGATGTTGATTGTTATAAATGTAAACTGTAAAAGCATCAACAAAAAACTGAATCTCAGTTTTTACCTGCATTGTAACCTGATAACCTTGAAATGCCTTTAGTCTCTCTTTCTTTTCCTCTTCCTGTCCCATACTTATCCATGTATCTGTAACTAAGACATTGGCACCATCTGCAGCTTCCAAAGGATCTGTTGTGAGAAGTAACTTGGTACCATACTAATGTGAAGAAAAAAAGGAAGATGAGGAAGACAAGGAACTTCAACTTCATTTATAATGAAAATAAACTCTATTTAAACTACTCTACTAGGCTATTTCTTAGGCTCCTACCTCTTTGGAGTACTGTTCAGTTATTTTAGTTATGCTGAGGTCTGGTTCAAAGCCCTGCCAAAAGAGATGATAAGTAACATATCATGGAACATATATAAGACCTTTACTGATTATTATCACTCGTTAGAAAAATACTGATTCAATCATTTGCCGTGGGAAGAACAATGTCTTTCAGAACTGTAAAACTTGAGGAAATTATGTTGATTTTGTTGAAAGTTTATTTTGGAGATAAACTGGTGGAAAGTGTTCTGATAAGGTAAGAAAAATGTATTCCAACAGTTACAGAATGAAATGTCTATATATAATTTAATTTTTTGGTCTAAACTGATTCTTTATTTTATATTTTATATTGTATTACAACGCAGTGTTCTAAAGAGCTGCGTTACCAAGCTGAACCAACCAAGATGCAACACTTCCATCAATATGAAACAACTTTCAAATTTTTTGGTGGGCAAGAGGGCATTGGGTGAATTTGTAAGACTTTCTCAAATGGAGTTATCATCCTCCATGATTTATACTGCAGTCATGGATTCCCCTCAGCCTTTCTGAAGTTAAACTCAGTAGAATAACTCCTGCTTTGCATGAAAATAAGTGAATCAGCATTCTGAATCTTGGTTCTAAAAGCTGGCACTCAAGATGCATGCAGGCACCACTAGCTGAGGCCCTTGGGAAGCATCCAAGTGGCTGACACCAGGATGGGCAAAGTTTGCCTTCCTTACTCCATGTGTGTGACTTTCTTACCTTGGGAGTCGCAATACGCAGGTGCATTCCCAGCTTTGCAGCGCTCGTCATGATGGAGTGGAGGACGTTGTTTCCGTCCCCGATCCAGGTGACAGTGAGCCCGTTCAGCCCGCCATAGTGTTCCTGCCAAATGAATCAGACAGCCCTGGGGTCATGTTCCAGGCGCGCTGAGCAAGCTGATGCACTAGGTAGGAGGGATTGATCAGACAGGTCTGGTGCAAAGAAGGCTGGCTACCTTCAAATGCTAGCTGCATACTTTTAATTGGACTTACTGCAGCTGCAAGATGGTCAAGGAGGGAAAGCCCCCCGTGTCTTACATGAAGGCCCAAGTGCTGCAGCTTTCTCCAGTGAAGGACACATTGACACGTATGCCATATGGTGAAGCCCAGACTGAGAGATGCAGCACCAGACACACAGTAACCTTAGGACCAAAGCTGTACAGCCATGGGTTGGTGCTCATAAACATCAGTGAATCATAGAAATTCTTAATTTAGAGGCAATTCTAATGCCTAGGATAGCACTCCTTCCAGCTTTCCCCCAAATTGTGAAAATATCCCTATTCAGATTTGTCACTACACAATGTTCCCCATGGCCATGGCAGTGCATTAGAGTGCATTTTAACCATCGCAGCTGTACAGGACAGCAAGGAGCAATACTTTGAAAGCAGCTGTGCCACTCATGGCTTGCAGGGTTTGTTCTCCCTTGTACGGCCAAGGAGTGCAGTGATTTTTTTAAGGTGGGGATTACCCGAACTTGAAACAGCATTACAGCGTTCACCGTACCTTTGCCTGATGGCACTTACAGCCTGTACATGTGCAGCTACTCTGGCCCTCAGCCATCAATAGATAAGGCTTAAGGAGGAACAAGAGTAACAGGAGTTTCATATTTCCAGAGCAGGACAATTTGAAGCCCTTTAGCAAGCCTTGTTTTAAATATGTATGTCTATAGGTACTTAAGTTGATACCAGAAAGTTTGTAAAGACATAACCAAATATGCCTGCTCTGTACAACTCCACCTCACGACTCAAAAGCCTAAAGACACAATGAAGAGCCTTTTATTCTTAGTTCAAAACTGGGCCATACTACAATTGCATTGTAGTAGCTGGAAGCCAGACATTGTTTCAACACTTTGTGTGACATGATTCAATGCTTGTCAGGGAGGATAAGCATCCACATCATAGAGCTGTACTAACTGGCAGCCTTGCAGGCAGTCACAGCAAAGATGCCAACAGACTGAACAGGAAAAGGGCTGGGACTACCCTCTCCTCTCCTGGCAGCAGCTTCTCCTAGACAAATAGTTGGGAAGTTGTTCCAGAACAAAGTTATTAGCATTTCTGCCAGTGACCACAATTTTGAGTCAAAAATAGTAGCACTTGAAATATTGAATGACATTAAAATGCTGTTGAAATCTAAACCTAGTAGAGTTTAAGGGCTAGAACTATGGTGTTGTAAAACTATCCCTTTTTCTGTTGAAGTTTGTTAGCAACAGGCTCATTGGCAGAGGTTTGATGCAAGGGCATTTACAGGAGAGCAAATCAGGACTTTGGGGACATGGAAGTTATTTCAGTATAACAGCTCTGCAGGTCTCTAAGGATCTTTCAAAGTCCTTCCACATCTCCTAGCAATGGTGCTCCTAGGAGAAGGCCAGACTAAAGCATTTATTTAAGAGGTTGTTTCCAGCTAGGGCTTAGTGATAGCTGAGACATGAACCCACAGCCAGGAGCAAATGAGACAGCCCTGAGTTCTTTTGATCTTACTGTTTAAAAATAGACATTGCAGCCTGTAATGCTCAAAGCACTGACTAGTGAGTCATAAATATACTGCTATGTTAAATAACTTCCACCTTATTACCAGCTGCTACTCTGCATTAAAAGAAGCACAGTGCATACTAAATACTTCCCTCTGTTTTCCCAAGCTACTAGCTGTTACAGATAAAATACGAAGTACTGGAGATGTCTGTATAATGACCCTCAATATGCACTGCAAATTGCAAAGCCCCATCTGCAGTGACTACTGTATAGAGTGGACATAGCTGAGCTAATCTTAATGAAGATGTTTAGCTAATGGAAGAAGTCGTAGACAAGGCAGAATCAAGCTGTGTGTGTGCTAGTGGAGCCTATTTTATATCTTGTGCTAAGCTTTATGCTGTCACTGGTGCACCGCTGCTGTAACTCAAACCTCTTCATCTAAAGCCAGCTCACTATGACTGTGACTGTACTGCTTATATGCATGCATCCTCAGCTTCCAAGAAAGATGAGGTGATTGTGTTGGTCAGAACCAGAAAGCTTTGAAGCAATACGAAAGCTATCGTATACGAGACATACTTTTCTTTCCCCCCTGTTTTGTAGTATATGCTTATACAACCGCATAGAGAAAATCCTGCTAAAAGTGTTTTGCCATGATGGTAACACTCTAGGTTAAACCAGAACCTTTATAATATATGCTGATCACCTGAGCCTCTGAAGGTATTTTTCCTCCTACATCCCTCCCCAATTCTTCCAAACTCTGTTATATCGATGTAGGCTTTTTACCTGCTTGTGTTCTGCAGTTTCTCTTTACATTTGGAATCTGATATTTACACTCCTAGTAAAGTCATACAAAAAATTAACATATTTAGGAAGTTTAGAGCCCTTCTCCCTTATGAATGCCTCTTTGGCAAACTAGTGATTGTTGTAGTGCCACAAAACTTGGCTTTGCTATTCTCATGAAAAATCCCTGTTAAATGATTAATGTCAATTTTACAGTCAACTTTCTCACCCTCATGCTGCTTTTACAACGTTTCATTCTGTTCTTATCCATGGTTGCAGTGTATCTGTGTATCAAACCCTGGGAAAAAATAAGCATGCTCAGTGATTTAGCACTGTTGTATGTTTAGAGAAGTGCGGTTTAACAAATGAGGGACATTCGTGTTTGCCTCTGCTATGCTAAAACTCTGACACCATTATAGATTACTTCTGAAATGTTTGACCACAACAGTCATAACAGCTCCCAGTTAAAACAAGCTTTTGAATAATGAATCAATAATGTGTCAAAATTTAAAATGGAAAGCGGGGGACTAGTCATAGCTTTAGCCCTTTGGGAGACAGTGCAATCCAGGAAATGAGAAACTGGGCAAACTTGGATCTACTGGCTCTCAAACTGAGCTGAAGGTAGATGCTGGGCCAGTTATATTTCTTACTCCCACATTGGTTTTTGTCATGGTTATTGAAACAGTATATTCTACAGGATCAATCCAGATCTTAGCTGGGATTTCTAATTGTTAGAATAATGATGATGACGGTGATGAATTTGAAGACTATAATAATTTGAGCTCTTTGGGTCACATGTCGAGGAGAAGTTGAGAATACACGACAACCCTCTTCAAGCTGGGCAACACTGTAATTCGTTACGCTATTTAAAAAGGAATCACTGATATATTTCTTATGCCAACCATTTATTTCTGAAAAAGAAATTTCCCTTCAGACCAGTGACATAAAAAGCTAGTGGCATATGGATCCACTCTAATTACCAGTCTGGCCATCCTGCAGTCAGCTACAAGTTAGCTGATTTGGCCAGTGACATTAATATCAATTGAATCAATGTCAATACCCGGTTTGTCCCTGGAATACAAATTGTGTGACGTTGCCCTCCAGCCAAGCTTCGCAGAGCAGAAGTTGTGAGCCACAGCTTCTGCCCAGGAGACCAGAGGCAGTGGGAGGACTCAGCAAGTGGCTGTTACATACTTTCAGCACAGGCAGAGAAGGAAAGAGGCTCTGCGTGTGCACAGTACCAGCACACAAACTCACAGTCTTTAAAGGCCAAATCCCCAAACCCTCAAAATCAGGGTGTATAATGTTTACAACCATTTCTAGTGGGTTATAACTCAAGAGCAAACTCAGATCAACCCAACTTTTAAGAAAGAGGGCAGCACATACGTTAAGAAAAACATCCCTCTTGGCCTAATAGAAGGCCTTAATCCTGAGCACAGTATTAAAGGGCAGAGCCAGCTTAGATGTCAAACATGTGAGGGGCTCCAGGTTGCTCAGACAGAAGGCACTGGGCAAGAGGACGTTGAACCTGAAGAATCTCACCCCGGTGTTCATGACAGGAGCACACTTTGCCATCTAACAAGAACACCCTGAATTCAGAACAAGAACTGACAGCCCTGAAAATAAACCAGCTGCATTGTTTGGGGAATGCAATAGACTATCCTAAAATAACCACACTAAAATGCACCTGTGAAAAGGGAATCAGAAGCCATAAGCAAGAAGACATTCTGACAAAACAAACCAGGAAATTAGGCAGTTTCAGACTGAAGAGAAAGTGCTCAAAGAGGATTCAAGAAGGCACATGACAAAATTAATAGGATTTAGAAAATGGAATAATAAAAATGTGCTAAGTATGAAGAGGGCCAGAGTGCATGTAGTGCTCCACTGGCAAATGCAGCAGGAGAAGAAAGAAGAGGGGAAAAAAAAAAGTACATTTTGTTTTGGGTATATACTGACAGCAGGGAGGAGCAGATCCTGGCAGGAAGATATTTACAGAGATAAGGAAGAGACATTTTGAAAGAGAAATAAGCTGCACAAAATCTGCATTTATATTTAAATATAAGGCTAGCAGTCTGTGCCACTATTGCAGTTTGCATGTAGGTATAAATCAAATAAATTGCTTTTGTATTGCAGGAAAGCAGTTCAAATGTTATACATGAACTTTCAACTCATTTAAAGAATCAGAGGTACTATTTAGTATCCCTATATTAATCTTCTTGCAGGTAGCACTTGGATAGTATCTTTCTACCCTGCCAAAAATCCCACGAGAGGTTTGATTGTGGTAAGTAACAACTAGACCCTGTGGTTCACATTTTTTCAAGTGTTAATCCTACTTTTGCGACCTGGTAAAGTTCATAATATGATTAAAATGCCATTTTATTACATGCTGCTGGCTGTAAGACCAGTCTTCTCCACCTCAGTGTACAGTGGAGAGAGGAAAAAAGGTGGCAGACGGGCATGTCAGAAGGGGAAAAAGCAGGCAGTGCCAACACCCACAGTGCGCTGCTGAGAGCTCCCCCCGCCTGCCCCTCTCTCCCGGGTAAGAAAGCAAGAATGGAAAATGGGTCAGAAACCAGTGGTGCAGCATGGTTGGCCACCCAGTTGCCCTCTGAAGACCTCCTGACAAACTCTGGGCTAAGGAACATGCTGAAAAGACTGGGGGAGAGATGGGCACAGTTGGAGGAAACAAGTGCTCTGCTTATCGAGCTGACCGGGAAAGTGCTGCAAATTTTAAAAAGCTTCCCTGGCTGTAAGTGCTCACTTTGTCCTGATACCTCTCCATGTCAGATGTTTCTTTTGTTTCAGCACCAACTGTTATGGTTTTGTTTCCTCATCATCTAAAATGCACAGGGACACTCTCCAAAAACGTCCTCCCTGGTGCTTGATGCAACAAGGACACCCACCTGCTGTTGCTGCTGCCCTAGGTATTCAAACCAAGGAAGAGTCCAGCCCATGGGCTCATGTTCACCTGGAGCGTCTACCATGGCTGCCCTACAAAAGGACAGAGTGGAGCAGGAGCAGAGGATGATCAAGAGGGCATGTACTCATTCTGCTGATCTCCATAGGTTTCCCCTTAAGATCAGTGGAGAAAGGCATGTATCTCTAGAAGGTGATTAAGATGCTCAGCAGTCTCTCTTCATTGACTGGAGATGGAGTACAGGGCAACAGCACTCTGAACTTTGGTGCCGTAGTCAGTGGCCTGCTTAAAACCATGTTAAGGGGCAGAGATACCGATAGCTGTGTAGACTGTGAATCACAGATTATTCCTGAAGCCTGTTATTCACAAGTGGTAAAATACTAATAACTAAGGTGTTTGCCAGAGAGAACCCCCCACAAAACACAACGATAAAATTCACCTGGTTTACAGTTGCACGCAGTGTTTAAATGAAATGATGACATTTAGTGATTGATGACGTTCTCATTACAGCTTACTGTCTTACCTAATTTGAACAGTTCATTTAGGCTGGCTCAATGTGATCTTGCAAATGTACCTTATCCTGAGGTATGTGAAGCATTTTAGTCTCAGGTTCACAAATTTTTGCTGGTGTCTTCACTTTCGTATTGCAAATTTTATGAAAAATACTAATCAAAGTAAGGAAAAAGTAATTTTCACTAAACATGTAAGTCTTTCAGTATTTAAAGTGAATAATTTAATATTACTCTCACTAGATCTTTTCCACATACTGAACATCCCATAGCAAAGTCTTCGACAGCTGAGAAACACAGCCGAATGAATCAGGAAATTATTCTGCCCTCCCTTTTTCAGGCAGTGTGATTTTTATTCATTCACAAAGTAAACAAGGTCAGAGGAGTTCATCATAGTTGTCAACCAGCACTGCAGTATAACAATCTTTTTTATAAGCCAGTTTCTCAATTGATTGTAAACCAGCATAGTCCTTCTGTTCACAGATAAACATCTGGTATTCTATGTGTAAAACGTTATCCTGCTGTCAAATCAACTATTTCATTAGATAAAACTATAAAATCTAATCTTTTTAAACTATTCTTTGATGTGAGCAAAGTTTAAATAGGTTCAAGTGCCTGAACAATGGGCATTTGCACTGGTAGCCTTAACTGACTTTTCAACACAAAGTTGTTCAACCGATTTCCTAAAATATGCATAGTGATTCCTTTCAAATTGCTCATAGGTTCGGGGGGAATCAAGAGTGAACTACTGAGTTTTTTTAAGTCAGTGGAAAAACTTCCACTGGCTTTCACTGAGCCAACAACTCACCTTTATCTTAATATGTAAAGCCCCCTGCACATTTTTTTGAATTGCAGCCTAATTCCAATGAAGTACTTAATTTTATGCTTAACTTCAGCCCCACTACAGCTGATAGGACTAGGTAATTGTTTTGAATTAAACAGGTCCTTAATTATATTGCTGGATGAAGATCTCTTTAAATAACAAGTGCCATATAATTACCACTTAGAAAAACATAGGAATAAATGGTTTTGAACTTGGCTTCCCCAAATACTTACCAAGACTTAGCAAAAAAACCTGTTATTAAACAGGGATTATATTGTTACCTGAAGAGTTAGGTAATCAGCTAAAATCTGGAGAGGATGGTATAAATCAGACAATCCATTGACTATTGGGATCGTGGCTTCTTTTGTCATTAGGTCCAGATCGTTATGCTTATAAACTCGAGCCAGGATTGCATTCGTCATGCTGGACAGCACCCTAGAGGATGGCAGAAAATACCCAAATCAAACATAATAAATATATCCCTGTTGCACTCTTCTGCATGCAACACTTAAATATTAATGAGAAGTGGTAATGAATCAAATTTTTTCAGCTCTCTGAATAATTTATCATGCCTGCATAACATACTTAAATGCAGACATTTAACAAGCTGCTAATAAGTCAGCAGTTTTACTTATTAACAAACTGTAGTAGGTAAATGAAAATTACTGCTGTATTTTATGTTTTTTCCTCTTTAACATCTGATTGTAGCTACAGATGTAACATCAACAAAAGTGTCGTGGTTTAACCCCAGCCAGCAGCTCAGCCCCACCCAGCTACTCACTCACTCCCCCCGGGTGGGATAGGGGAGAGAATCAGAAGGGTAAAACTGAGAAAACTCGTGGGCTGAGATAAAGACAGTTTAACAGGGAAAGCAAAAGCCACGCACGCAAGCAAAGCAAAACAAGGAATTCATTCCCCACTCCCCATGGGCAGGCAGAGGTTCAGCCATCCCCAGGAAAGCAGGGCTCCATCACCCGTAACGGTGACTTGGGAAGACAAACCCCATCACTCCCAACGTCCCCCTCTTCCTCCTTCTTCTCCCAGCTCTATATGCTGAGCATGACGCCATACGGTATGGGATACCCCTTGGGTCATTGGGGTCAGCTGTCCCGGCCGTGTCCCCTCCCAACTCCTTGTGCCCCCCTAGTCTCCTCGCTGGTGGGGTGGGGTGAGAGGCAGAAAAGGCCTTGGCTCTGGGTAAGCCCTGCTCAGCGGTAACAAACACATCCCTGGGTTATCCACACTGTTCTCAGCACAGATCCAAAACACAGCCCCATACCAGCTACTGGGAAGAAAATTAACTCTGCCCCAGCCAAAACCAGCACAAAATGTTGAGGTATCTGAACTCAGATAAGACATTGCATGACACTGTAACATTTGAAGAATTTGATAACTTCAGAAGAGATGATAAAGTTTAAGATTTCTTGAGTCTTTTAGCAAAGAACAAATGTAGCGTTGACTTAATATTACAGCGTTTCTGTATGACAGCCTGACCTTTGTGAAGATTTGGAATACAGATCTGTCTTAGATTACCACAATTATTTACTGATTTTAATGAACACAGAAACAGGAGGCCAACACCACCAGCCTGGTTTTCTCCTGCATGTACACCATGAGCGTATTGACACTCGTGGTATCAGTGTTAAAGTAATGCCCAGATTTGAAACTCAATATATGAATAGGGGCATGCAGGAGTCACTGTACCTCTCTGGCCTTAAACTCTTTTGCCAAAGTGTGAAAGACTCAAGAGATTAGCATAGTGGATTAGCATAGTATGCTCTGAATCCTTTAGATAAATTAAATATGGATTGGAGCTCTGCATTTCTCTGCATTTCTGTGTTTTAATCAGGCCCTGAAGCCTGACTTTGAAGTAGCATCTTGTGTGTTTTCATGTTATCTCTAACAGGACCTTAAAACAAAACAAGGAAGAGACTGAATAGAAGAGTATGAAAAATCCTTGCAGTATCTATCTTCCTGGTTAGCCATGAAGAATTCTGGTATATCGTCTTGTGGAAATATGGCTGTTAATGCCACGGCCTTTACACAGACAAATCTCCTGATGAAGTCAGCAACAAACATTTTCGACTGACACCAGACATTGCTCACACAAGCAAAACTCTTCTAAAATGGTACAAGATTCTCTGTAGAGCGCTCTCTGAAGAAAAGACTGCCAAGAGCAGCTACAAGTGAAAAGGAAGAACTGAACAAGGTATTTACTGATTGCAAGGTATCAGAACAGTTGCTGTTTGTGCCATCATTTCTTCTTAGCTCACGAGTTTCTTTTTCTGTGTGTGTGTGTTTATTGTAGCTTGAAGCATGTGACTGTGGGAAACCTGTTCTGTTCTGAACTAGTCATCAGTGATGCATCTAACAGGTGCCCACCCTAAACAAGACATAGCCAGTCCCACCAGTCAAGGAAAAGAGGCAATCACACTGGGATATTGCCCATTTTTCTTAGACTTTTTTTAGGCTGTCAAGATAGGTGATTCCTACCCAACACGACTGATAAAGAATTCAAAGAAGATGGTTCCTTTACAGGACATGCCATTAGAGGAAATTCAGTCATAATCAATAACCAATTAGTGAAAACTGCTGGATTTTCTTCCTTAATCTGTTGAAAGCAGATACTAGACTTACTAGGCACTTGCCGGCAAGACATCAGACAGTCCTTCTGCCAGTGTTTCTAGATGTCATATCTTACAGTAGGAAACCCAGGTGGAAACTGGGTTTATTCTTTGTGAAATCAAAACCAAATTGAATTCAGAAAAAAAAAATAGACCTCATCTGAAAAGATGAAGTCTCCTGTAATCAAATCAATTTAAAGGAAACCATGTAAGGCTGGGATTACATAGGAAAAAAGACCTGGCTAGATAAGAGTCTTTAGTAAAGGTGAAGTTTTGGAGGGTGAGCAGGAGTAAGCACAAGCTCATCAGGTGATTTTTCATTTAAGGTTCCTGTGTTATCACCAACTACAAAGTCTTTTTCTCTTTTCATTCTTTTTGCAACACTGTGTACCTTTAAACTTCAAAATCCCAGAGCTTGCAAGTGTATGAGCATATTGGAATGCTGCATATCTCTGTTTTCAAAATAACTTTTGTTTCTACAGAGAAAAACTAGAATTTTTTACTCAAGTGTATCCTCTGAGAAATCCAAAATTAAACACAAATAAAAGTATGCCTTTTTGGTGTGGTTGATCTCTGAATTTGAAAATGGGGCATTTGCATATATTTTGGCTAGCATATTGCTATCCAAGGTAGTAGTGTTTGGTTTTGAAAGTATGCACCCATTCAAAAGGTTTAAATTTCTGACAAGAGTACTTCATTGTCATTCCTAGTCTTACAAGGGCATACGGTGGATGTGTTCTCAGTAAGTGGTGAGAAGTAAACCCATTCCCCATAGATGCAGAGATTTATCCCCTAATAATGCCAGTGGACTGGTAAAATCACTCTATGAGTTCTTCAGTGCTGTCACTGAACCTTATGGTCAGTGAGCTATAGTGGTGCACAATGGAACTGCTCTATAGTGGAAAATACAGATACACTACTTATATTTCATTTCACGTAATATATCAGACATGCTAAACAGCACTGAAAGGCTTAGAGCTCCTTAATGGGTGGTAACTTTTTGCTACTGTGTCAGCATAAATGTAAATGTCTTGTGAAGCATGGAAGAACTGTATTATGAGCAGGTAATAAGTCACTAAAAATATGTTCACAGCAGAAATTACTTCAACCCTTACCTGCAGCAATTCTAATAAAAACTGGGACTTTCATAGAGCTGTGCCCCTTTTGCTTTAAGTCTCAATCTCAAGTACTTCTAAGTCCTTCAGAGCCCTAGACACATGGCTGTAAATATTTGAAATACCCTCTGGGTCTACTACAGGCATTCTTTTTTTATTCTTACATTAACTGAATGAAGTTGGCATTTTATCCTTCATTCACAAGAAATGCCAAGGAATTAACACTGAGGTTGTTCTTTTGGGTAAACTGCTCAGCCTTGATTATGCAAAGTCAATAATAATTCTGCTAATGAGAGCAGGAGTGAAGCAGAGCACGTGGGGCTCTGTAAAGGCTTGGGAAAGCCCTCACTCCACTGTAGCAGATGAGTGCTGTGACTCAGCAGAGGAGCAAAATCTCCAGGTCAGGGTCATAAATAGGGACTTGACCTGGAAGAGCAAGCAGTGACAGCGAAAAGGAGGGCTGAAGGCTTGCATGGGAACTGGGTATTGAGACACCTTTCTCCACAGAATGAGCACTCCTCCAGAATGGCTGGAAGATTTGCTTTCTTCTACTTTTTGCCTTACTTCTTGTAGCTTACTGTCTTTCTTTTTCCCTTTTGCTTGTGCAAACAAAGGTCATTCAAGAGACTGTGAACCAAAGATTTAATGGCCCTTTATTATCCCATTTGGGAAGAAGAAGAAATTAAAACTGGCCTATACAAAGCATGTCTGTTTGTGTATCAGAACACACCTGGATTTGCTGCAGGGCTGGCATCTGAATGGCAGAGAGCCTCCGGATGACAGTCCTGCACGTCTGGTGCTTGGAGAGGTTATTGCAGGGAAGCACTGTGTAAGGGCCCTGACCGCACATCCTTCCCCTTCCTGGAGGTTTGGCTGCTGGGGCTCAGAGCCAACTTGGCATTAGTGCAGCTGAGGGCTACCCCTCATCGCTCTGATGTTGGGGGGGAGAGGAGGCTCCCAGACAGCTCCCAGACACTCCCATCCCCACAGAGGTGCAATGCCCTGGGTTGTGGCTGCCCCTGGCTGCCCTGCTCCCTGGCTGGGGGCAGGGGGACGGGTGCCAGCTGACGAGGCCCTGCCCTGCCTGACCCAGAGGGAGCTCCTGGCACTCGAGCCTCCCTAGTGCCCCGGGAGCCACGGGCCCACCTGGCACCCTGACATACTGTGCTGAAGACTCTCACCATTTGTCCTTCCCTTCCCATTCACAAGTGCCACAGTGCAATTTTACATTCGGCCTGGTAAATCAACCCTTCCTTTGGCTTCACTTGCTGCCTTTGGTTGCATGGCAATCCTTCCACATCATTTTGTCATGGAGCCTGAAGTCACTCCTTGCCAAACGTGACACCTCTGCACTTCTTCATTCATTCCCCACTGCTCTAGTGTGTCCCATCCTTCTCAATTACAGTTCCTTTAAGCTGATATAAATAGCTGATCTTCACCTTTCCAGCCTGGCGTGCCAGTACCCCTGCTCACAATGTCACATTCTGCCTCTTCAGCACCAGCCTCTCAGCACCAGCCTCCCATCTCCCTCCTGTGTCCTCTGTCAGCATCCTCTCTTCCTCTCCCTTCTCAGCCAAGAGGCTCTGTCCTTACAATGGTCCCGTGAGAATGGAAGAAAAGGCAAGATTCTTGGAGAATAATACTTATTTACATCCGTGTGGGGGATTTATCTTTGATACGTTTCCCATTCACCTCTAATATGACATAGTAAGCTATGTATGTTTGACTTGAAAAATCCTACGTATTTCATGTCAGTAGAGTTGTAGCAGGGATGCACATGCTCTGAAGCATTTAAGTGGCACATTTTGATGAAGCTATACCTGTCCTGCTTAAACTGGGGCTATTTCCCATGACATAGGAAGAATTTCTTTTGAGGGGATGTATTTGAATCCCACGGCATTGTATAAGCTGTGCTGAACTGGACACAACCACTGCTGGACACAATGGCCTAATGTACCTCAGCCTTGACTGTTAAGTCTCAGATTAATCTGTCCCCTTTGTGGGCCCACAAGTTTACACGATTTTTGAATCTTTTAAACTTGTAGTTACTAAAGCAAGCCAGTGGGACACACTTTTGTTGAAACATCTGAACACTATTGTTGCAGCTTACTTTGATACTGGCAGAATTATGTATCTAGCAGGGAGTGAGAGCTAAGTACTTTCAAGCCTCAAGAGATGGAAATTTTGACTTTCTACTATCAACACCCATATGTCTTCCACTTCAGTCGTTAAAAGCAAGAAAGAAAAATTTAAAATGTTCAAATGTTTGGTCTTTTTCTTATATTTTCCTTGGATTTTATCACAGAGAGAACAGTAACATAGTTCTCAATCTCTCCCACTGACTGTGAAAACTGTAGTATACAGCAGAGGCAATGGAACCTCAGCTGGCCGATCGCATATTTTGATTTGAGCCTGACAAGCTTGACACTGCATATCTTTCACCAGAACAAAAAGGACCTTTCAGACACTACTAACCTTCCAACAGCTGAGCCTGACTGAACTGACCTCAGGCTGCAAAATGGCTGCCTAGAAAGCAGCACAATACTGAGGTTGGATGAGTCTTTAATATATGGCGTGCTATGAAAAACAGCAAGAGCACCTGCAAAAGACAACCTCATGTTCTGCCTATTTTTTGCAACATTGGAGGGAATCCACTGGAGAAAAACCTTGAGCTCAGTTCTTCCCTGCTATAGCACTGGGGATAGGGTGCTAGCTACCCATCCCTGCATGCACGTGGGACTGGGCATGATTAAGATCTTCCAAGGGTGCCAGTAAGAGAACAATACCATAGTCCAGCCTCCACAGCAGTCCTGACAGTGGGTACAGCTGTGGAGGAGAGCAAATGAAATGAGAAACTGCCTGCAAAGTGTTGGTCAAGTTTGGTGCTGCTGAAATAGGGGGATCAGAGTGGCCTTCTGTGACACCCTGTCACTGCAGGTAAGCTAAGCCCCACCAGCATCTGGCCTAACTAGGATAAATAAAGTCTTTGCTTTTTGATTTGGTTTTTTGATTTGCTAGTCAGCTGTACTTCTAGCTCCATGAGGAACAACAGAACCAGAAGTTTCTGTTGTTTGAATATATGTGCTGTCATCAGGGGAGCTATACTACCGAGGTTCATAAAATGTTTCCGTTCGTGTGACTGTCACTCTTGTTAACACTCTATATGCCAAATTTGATAGAAATATTTCTCCTTGTGAGATGTTTTGGAGAGCTAGAGTGGACAGAATGATGGTGTACTGAACTACTGATTCTGTGAGCTGATCTGTAAATATTTAAGAAATTTTGAGTGCCCTCTGACACTTTCCAGAAAGAAAATGTTAGCTTCCAAAATCCTGTAAGACAGGTTTCAGCCTATTCAACTACCAAATACATAGTGATCAATCAACTGACATTTTACCAACCTTGCTGTATCTGTGAGACTCTCATTAGTGCCCAGATGTATGTCTTGTGTTGTAAGGAAGGAAGGATGTCCTCCAAGGAGAGCAAATCCTACAGCAAGGGCAAATAAGAAAAGAAATTAAAAACCATCACCTCATATTCACAGTTGAGATTCAAAATCTTCTTCATGTAACAGATATTTACATCACTAAAAGTAAAACTCAGCAGGGCATCCAAATGTTTCAAACACCTAAAGTCTGACACACAAGACAAAAATAAACATATTCTTGAAATAAAACCACTCAAATGTGATGCTTTGCTGAAATCCTTAGGCATGGGTTCTGATCTGTGTTCATAGGAACAGTAGTCATTCAAGGTGCAAGACTACCTATTGCCAAAAGCATCACTGTGGCTCCCTGTTAAGAGTTAGGTATCTACCCAGCATGCTGAATTTTGACTTCAAGGGACTTAGCATCCTAGAAGGGCCATCTGAGTCACTAGGTGTAATTCCACATCCTTGCAAGAAGCTTCAAGTATAGTCACTCAGACAGAAAACCCTAAGTCTCCTCATACACTATAACAAACTTGAGCTTGGACACAAACGATCAAGTGCCTTAAAAATTATAATGAAACAGAGAGAAAAGAAAATATTTTGGGCACTGCCAGCATCCCTCTACCCTGCAATAGTTAGGAATTTACAAGGTGAGCCAAGGAACTGGACGGATTAGGTCTGAAGAATGAAATCCATTCCTTAACAGGAAACTATGGAAAGACCTGAGCATCATTTAAGAATATAAAACACTTTGGGGAACTTAAAAGGTGTCTGGGCAGTATTTTGGAGAAAGACAAATTACATGCCAAGGGCAACTCTCAGGTTCTGTCCTGCCTTATTTCCATTGCACGACCACTAGAAAGCTACCACAAGCAATCAGCTGACACAGACAGGGAGGAAAACAGCTTTTTTTCACCATACTTGAGTCTCCCTGCCTTTGCCTTGTTTAATCCTAAAGCCTCCCTCCACTGAATCTCAGTGTGAAGTTCATCGCGGCCACATATTGGGAGGACGAGGTCTGAGGGGGGCTGTTTTACGAACTGTCACAAATGGTTTAGCATAAGCCTAGCACAGGACACAGGGTCCTACAGCTGGGGACGTACAAAGTGTAAGGCTTGAACTAGGCTGTAAGTAGCCCTGTAAGGCATCTCTGTGCACTGGGGAAGATTTTCTGCATAAGAACAACTCCTTTCTAGTACACAAATTGTCAGGGAGATTTTGCCCTGTCACTAATATCCATGATGGAGGACATTTCCACAGAATCTCAGTGTGGATAAACCAATCTTGTTGAGACAATACTATGGTGGACTGAGTGTTTTATTGTGGCAAAAATCTAGAAGGAAGCCCATCTTATTTTTATTGCGAGGAAGAGAAAGGTTGCAAACAGAAAAGAAGAGACGCTCCATCTCTACTAAACTATGATCTCTTGGAGGTGATAACAAATTTTGTGCTGTGGGGGGGAAAAAAAAAAAAAAAAAACAACGAAAAAAAAGAGGACATTTTTTTAAAAAGAGAGGAAAAAAAAAAGATTAAAAGCTGCTTGGGCTGGTTGTAGCCATTAGATGGCACTGCAGACACCGCCAGAACTGAGCACTGCAGCTTCAACCTGCTGTTTGTACAGGCCTGCCAAAGATTAAAAAGTTGATCCCACAAATAATCTTTAAAAAAAGGATTAAACCAGGAGTGAACACTGAAACCTTTCACAGATAAAACCAAGCAACTAGATTCAGGCGGCAGGCCTGGGCCCCACAACTGGGCCCCTAACACAGAGCAGCCCTTATTAACTGCCCTCCCACGCAGGCAGCAGGGCAGAGGTGAGGTCTTCCACTTTGCAGCAGTTCAGCCAGGCTCTAGACTTTAAAATGCAATAGATGAAAATAAGACTGGCAAATCATTGCCTTTTGACTGCCTCGATTTCCTTAAATGTCACATTAAAAATAATGATGCTCCAGACCCCATTTGATGGGCAAATCTCTGCTCTGTCCGCCCAAATCTCAACAAGATTGGAGTCAGACACAGCAAACTTTAAGAATGAAGCATCACTTATTCTGCTATTACTTTTTGCTGTTAGAAAAGCGCTACACATTTGCTGGTTGCTTTGCCCTTCTTTCTCGGCTATTCAGAAGCATTTTTGTATTAAGGCAGGAAAAATGTTTAGGTTTCCTCAAATATTTTCACCTCCTCTCTGCACCTTAGACACAAACACTGTATTTATGGGAATGTGTATGCAAACTGTTGCCTAGACGTTACAGCCTATCTATTCAATGTAAGTTTTTAAGTCAAGACCTCAAGGATGACACGTTGTTTGTACTAACTTTTTGTGTCCAGCTTCTTGTGTGTTTTTTCAAAGTCATATACAATTATGTCAGTGATTTATCCCCACAAGTTCCACACAATACAACAGCTCTGCATTTCAGGCTTCTAAATGCATCCACTTTGGTAAATGTTTCACAGTCCAGGCAGCCTCCCATGGACATGTTCTGTTTTCTATAAATGATGCCCAAGTAGAAAAAGAGGGATCTAGCCATTTATTTAGAATTGCTAGACGTCAGGCAGCCCAGTCGGAGCTACCACCTGGAGTCTGTGTACATAGCAGAGTCCTAATGTGTTAGGCTTTCTGCTCCTGAACTGGCCATCTGCGCAGGGCCTGGGAACATATTTCCATCCAAAACTTTCCATCTGGAAATACAAGACCTCTGTGCTCTAGCTTTGTATGTAGTCGCAGAGACAGAATCATTGCTTCAGATTCTTTCATCCAGACTACTAGTAGAAAGAAAAAAATGATGACTTTTGAAGAGATGCAGGCACCAATTCAGCAAATAAGCACATACTGGAGTGCTGTGTTAAACTGGAAGATCTAATCCTCTTCATTGTCACAAACTGGTCATATCCAAAGCCACATATTAAGTGTTTATATGAATCTTGGTATCTTCAACAAACTGTGTTAAACGTTCATACTGCAGAACCAGAATAGATTATTATCTCATGTCCACGCTTCTCACTACTGTTAGTTTTCAAAAATGGACAGTTTTATGCCTCAGGCTGTGGCACATTATTGAGCCCACCTATGCAAATGCTTTCATGTAGGACACGAGTGCTGGTGGTTGTACAGACATAGGTTAAATCTCCACTCCAGCCTGTCCCTGCTACATTGGGTAAGTCAGTGGCCCAAAGTGAATCCTCTAGTTCACGCTTTGGATACACAGTTGTAGGGCTGTCCCGCTGTCACCAGGAGACGTACACAGTCAACTTCTCAAACTCAAAGGAAGGATCCTTTTTTATATTTCAAGACATCTGGATTTGGATTTGTTAGTTTCCTCACTGCCTGCCAGGATTTACAATTTAGAAAGTATTTTTCAGTTTAGACTTATAACAAAGGCTGTCCCACTGTCACCAGGAGACGTACACAGCCAACTTCTCAAACTCAAAGAAAGGATCCTTTTTTATATTTCAAGACATTCTGGATTTGGATTTTTTAGTTTCCTCACTGCCTGCCAGGATTTACAATTTAGAAAGTATTTTTCAGTTTAGACTTATAACAAAGAATTCTCCTAGGCAGCAATTACAGAAATATTCCTAAAGTAGAAGCCTAAAAACTGATAAGCAGTTTTTTAAAGCTACTCCTGTAAGAGAGTAAGCTAAAAGAGTACTCTTGCCCCCTCTGTAATGTGGCCAAGCTAAATAATACCAGCCATTCCAACAAAAACCAGACCCTGTATTCCTGCCACATAATACCATCCCCACTACATTAGAACATACGAAGTGATGCAATTATTTCTGTGACTGTATGTAGTGGTCTTCAGGCATGGATATTGTGTTCTTCCCACCCCGCTGTGTAAGAGGAGTGAGTTGGGAGTAATTCCGCTAACGCCCGTTGCAGTGAACTTCTGTAAAGCTGTTAAGACCTTGTATATTCCAGTGCACAACAAAAGAAGGTATACAGAGCTTTTCTGCCTGTATTGTTTCCTCTCCATTTCTACCCTGTGACATATTGTCTCCATTCAGCGTCTGTGAAATGGTTGGATCTATTTATGACTTGTTCACTAAAACGTAACTGCAGCTGTATATTTTAAGAGGAACAGCGACAATCAGAATATTTTACAGCAAAGTTATAGCCTTAGACCTTTATGCCATGCCTTAGGATGTTTATTTTACGAGTAATATATGACCATGTGGAATACCTTTGTTTTCAAAAAGTACGCAAGATTTTATCCAGAATGGGTATGGGATTCTGACTGCAAAGAGATGACATTTTCCAGTATAATAGCAGAGATGTCACATTTTCCAATATAATAGCCAGTGATAGTAATAAATCCAGTAGGCTCCACAAAACTGGATTTACTTTGCCCATACCCTATGGAAGTTACTTGTAGTTCTTCATTAAATTTACAACACCACTACTACTCTTAGAAATGGTAAAATAATATGGGTTTCAGAAATATGCATTAGGAAAAGACTATATTTGTTCAAGAGAGTAAAGGGGCAATGAATTATACCATGAGGAGCTGTACATTATTCAGTACAGATGCAATGTCATCAGAATAAAACAGTTTAGAGGCATAATATGTTGGAAAAGCCACAAACATCAAGTGTTCTCTTACAATGCATTATAAATTAATTTATGATTCATAATCTCTGATCAATCTTGGCAACTGGGAGAAGTGCTCGAAGACTGGAGGAAAGCAAATGTCACCCCTATCTTCAAGAAGGGCAAGAAAGAGGATCCAGAGAATTATAGGTCTGTCAGCTTCACCTTGATTCCTGGAAATGAGATGGAGCAGCTAATCCTGGACATCATTTCCAGGCAGATTAAGGACAAGAAAATCATCAGGAGTAGTCAGCATGGCTTCACCAAGGGGAAATCATGCTTGACCAACTTGATAAACTTCTACGATGAAGTGACTGCTCTGGTAGATGAAGGGAGAGCAGCGGGTATTGTCTACCTGGACTTCATTATGCCCCTTGGCACTATCTCCCATAAGATCCTCATAGACAAGCTGTTGCTGTATGGGCTGGATGAGCAGACAGTGAGGTGAGTTGAGAACTGCCTGAATGGCCAGGCCCAGAGGGCGGTGACCAGTGGTGCTAAGCCTAGTTGGAGGCCAGTGACTAGTGGCGTGACCCAGGGATCAATACTGGGTCCAGTCCTGTTTAACATCCTCATTAATGATCTGGATGATGGGGCAGAGTGTGCTCTCAGCAAGTTTGCTGATGATACAAAACTGGGAGGAGTGGCTGATACACCAGAGGGGTGTGTTGCCATCCAGGGACAGGCTGGAGCAATGGGCTGACAGAAACACCATGAAGTTCAGCAAGGAGAAGTGCAAAGTCCTGCACCTGAGGAAGAACAGCCCCATGCACCAGTACATGATGCGTGCCACCCAGTTGGGAAGCAGCCTGGCAGAAAAGGACCTGGGGGTCCTGGTGGACACCAAGTTGAACATGAGCCAGCAACAGGTCTTTCCGGCAAAGGTGGTGAATGGTGTCCCGGGCTGCACTAGACAAAGTATTGCCAGCGGGCGGAGGCAGGTGATCCTTCCCCTTTATTTGGTACTGGTGAGGCCATACCTGGAGCATCCAGTTCTGGGCTCCTCAGTATGAAAGAGACATGGACACATTGGAAAGTATGTCCATGTTAACAAAGGGCCACAAAGGTCACTAAGGGACTGGAGCATCTTTCATATAAGGAAAGGCTGAGAGAGCTGGAACTGCATAGCCTAGAGAAGAGAAGGCTCAGAGGGAATCTTACTAAGGTATACAAATACCTGAAGGGAGGGTGCAAAGAGGACAGAGCCAGGTGCTTTTCAGTGGTGCAGTGGGCACAAACTGAAACACAGGAGGCTTCCTCTGAACATCAGGAAACACTTTTTTACTGAAAGGGTGATTCTGCACTGGCATAGGCTGCCCCAGAAGGTTGTGGAGTCTCCATCCTTGGAGCTATTCAAAAGCCTTCTGGACACGGTCCTGGGCAACTGGCTCTAGATGACCCTGCTTGAACAGGGGCTTAGACCAGATGACCTCCAGAGGTCCCTTCCAACCTCAGCCATTCTGTGATTCTGTTTATTTATTTTTCAATAATGGTGTTCTTTATAGGCATAGGGAGAGCAGGACTTCTGAAAAGGCTTCCATGGTGTTAATAAATGACAACAATCTCCTAGACACTGCACAGAGCAGATTTTGTAAACAGTGCTTTCCAAGTCTCTACTCCTTTATAATGAAACCCATTGATTTTCATCTAGTTTCTGAGAGCTGCAAAGTTTGTTTAGACTAATCTCATCACCAGAACCTTGTCCCGCAAGTGACCTCTTTCAAGATATTGAAGGTGCAACTCGTGGGAAATGCTATTTGAGATGACTCAAGTATTTCATAAATAAACACTCCAGTCCACTTCAATGTCCACTTTCACTGGACATTAGAAAATTGGTATTGAATTAGCTTATTTAGCTAAAAGGAACACATGTGACCCCACATTTGTTTTGAGTTAGAAGTTCCAAGGGAGAAGTCATGTATGTTAAAAAGCAGCTGAAATTTATAGAGTTTCCATGGACAGAAAAAACTTGAGTCTGCCTTTGAAACAAAGTCTTAGGCTTAGGGGACTTAGGACCAATTAACTGAAGGTGTGAAGTTAACACATAGAAGTTAAGCTGCATTAAACCCCCTTGTGGAAGCTCTCACTCAGAAATATTCATGGGTATATTTCACTGGAGCTTAATCCCTCTTGGATGAATTTATGTGCATTAACTCCCGTCCTTAAGTTAATTCATTTGAACTTTACTGAGCTTCCACCTTCTATAAGCCTTCAAAAGCCAAGGACTAAATACTGCTTCCCTCTGAATATGGAAACATGAGGGATAAACAGATTCAGAGAATTCATCATTACCTGCCCATGTACCAGTATGGCAGGCAACTAGATACTGGACTAAAAACTCTGGAATTAAAAGGTGGGTGGTCTTCACAGAGAGGGAATGAACAAGAGAAACCCATTCATAAGTCCTGCTTATCTGCAAAAAACAGACAGCAACAACAAGTCTACATAAAGAGCAGGATCAGCAGGTAGATGGCTGTGCCAGAGGACACAAAGGCAAATTCAGAAATGCTTGCAGTTAACATATCTGCTGCTTCCTTCCATTGTTTTTACCTTCTCCCTTGCACCTTGTAAAGAAATGTGAATACTCAACAAGTTTCCTGTCCCTTCACTAGGGAGAAGTCAGCCTGAGGGATGTTGGGTCAGCTTAAATATGAGAAGAGCAAGCTTCTCCTTCCTTGATGCATCACCAATTCATAGTTATTCCTTGCTAATGTGCAAGAAGCACATGAGTGATTTATTTCAGCGGTCCCACTGACTTCAGAACAACTACCATGTAAATAAAGACATGTATGTGTTTCAGTGTTTGCTGGACTGTATCCTAAAAGAATAATGTTCCAGTGAATGATCTTATTAGGCTAATACCCTGGAATCTCCATCAAGTTATCTCCTCCCGTAGGTAATCATGTTAAAGATTTTTTTTCCCTAATTTATATCAAGGCATTACTATGATTCCCAGCCTAAACACATACTCTGAAATGTGACAAGGGTAATGCATAATACATTAGAAGAATATTTATTAGAGCTTGCACAGAATTAAATTTGTGATGCTTACTAAAATAGATGTTAGGAAATCTGCATCTTGCCAGTACAACTAGGAGCTTACACCAGAAATGCTTACTTCTGCCTGTTACTGTATTTCTGAGCTATCATGTTTTGGAATCATAGAATCACAGAATGGTTTGGGTTGGAAGGGACCTTAAATCTCACCTATTTCCAACCCCCCTGCCATGGGCAGGGACACCTTCCACCAGACCAGGCTGCTCAAAGCCCCATCCAACCTGGCCTTGAACACTTCCAGGGATGGGGCAGCCACAGCTTCTCTGGGCAACCTCTGCCACTGCCTCACCACCCTCTCAGTAAAGAATTTCTTCCAAATATCTAATCTAAATCTATCCTCTTCCAGTTTAAAACTGTTACCCCTCACCCTATCACTACACTCCCTGATAAAGAGTCCCTCCCCAGCTTTCTTGTAGGTCCCTTTTAGGTACTGGGAGGTTTTGGTACTGGAATGATTTGGTGAAATTTCAGTGCCCAAAGTGATGTGCCTGTGACATTAACATGGAAGGTGAAACACAATTAGCTACCATTCTTTTCCTATCTTTGCTTTCAAACTTTAGGTTTCTCCTGAGTAGAAATTGCTGAATATAAATTATGTGGTGTTTTTCAGTACATACTCACGGTATCCAATTTCATATAAAATCTGACTGCCATTGCTCAGACCTACCTGTTTCTGCAGATAATCTTGTTCTTGTGCTTCTCTTCTCAAATATCATGGCCAAAGATTTTCCTTGCATCAAAGGCAAATACTGGAATAGGAAAATTGAAGGCATTTCAATTTTGTAGCCATTATATACTTTACAGTGTGAAATACTTCTTTCACATTTTAATTCAGCATTAGAACACACAGGTGTTTTTCTAACCGTAGCTTTGTTCTCCTGCCCTTCAAGAAATTTATTAGCAGTGGAAAGGTTAAAGGGAAAGAAGTAATTCTGGGGCAAAAAGCAACTGCATTTTGGCACTCAATTTGAGCCACCATTAAGGAGAACTCTGATACTACTGCAGGGAAGTGTCTTCCATTTCCTACATGTAGTGCTGCATGTACACCATGTATCAATGGATGGGGTTAGCCGACAACAGGGAGCTAGTTGTGCAAAGCTGTTTAACCTTTTCACTTGTGAAGTCCTCTGAAGTATTTAAAGAATATCTCTGAACACTTTACAGGAAGGGTCTTTGATTTGTAGCACATGATTTACAGAATTTAAGAGCTCAGGTGATGTTTAGGATAAGACAGATCAATGGCTCATTCCCAATACTCTTCAGAACAATATTTATTTCAACATCTGAGTGACCTAAATGACAGTTAAAGCATTTTACCTCTCCTTTGTGCTTTATCCTTTGTTTCAAATCTGAGGCCATCCACAGCAAATACTTCAGCTCATCTGCTGTGTAGTTCTGTAGAGTAAGGAGGTCACGACCTTTCAGATGAGCATTCATTTGAGCTGGTGGTCCATACCTGTGTCAAAAGAGCAAAAAAACATATGCTTTTTGTCATTTGACCCTAAATTGTACTCACGGTAAAGTCAACAAGCAAGCAGTTGAAATTTCTCCCACTCCCCTCATTTGACCCAGCTGGATCAGCTTGATGGACTGTGTTAATTACCTTAAATAATTTTCACTGTCAGACAGACACAACATGCCCCTATGCACTATATAGATCATCACCATAACAGTGTCTCAAATTGTATTGTAAACGGTACATTAGATGTAGTTCCTTTTGCCTTCTGATATGCATATGAGTTGACTGCATGCTGCCTATCAAATAAACCCAAATACATAAAGCCATTCAGGGCTTGGTGAAATGGCTTATATGTAGACCACAAAGCTGCGCTTTGGGGGCACAGAATATGGGGAATGGATCTTGGTGCTCTTTCTCCCCCCTTTGTGCTTTGTGGATGAGTAGACACTTGCCATGTTCTACCCTCACCGATACAAATGGTGGCATTTCTATAAATGTGTATGAAAACTCTTGATTACACTGGGGAAGAGTGTAAAAAAAAACCCAACAAAATAGCCATGTGCTCTGGTCCTTCTCCTACCATACGAGAGAGGTTCTGGGCATGTGCAGTGTATTTATTCAGTGTATTCTGGCCTCCAGCCAGATCTACAACTTCAGAATCACATGAAATTGGATGTTGATAGTCACCCACAGAAGTTACATGATCAAATTTCCTCTAGCTTAGATGAGTTGTCTTAATGAAAGACATGTCCAAGCCCATTTTTCCACAGGCTTAAGATTAATAAGGGAGGGTAGCAGCTTAGCCCCTTCTCTGGCACTGTATCTACAGCCCTCCTTAGCATAACACAGCCCGCACTGTGCTCTTGCTAAGGTTTGGATGGGTACAAGCTAAACACGTCTTTTTAATTAAAGGCAGCATTTTTAGACTGATTTGATGGAATGGAAACCAAAGCAAAGCAAACAAACTGACTGAGTGTAGATACCACTTTTGTATTTCCAAGTAGGCTTCCTTCTAGCTCACCTTTGAGGCCAGGTTCAGTTACAGCACCTCCCAATTGCCAAGCCCTGGAGCCCACAGCTAGGAAAATTCAGGGGAAAAAAATAGAATTTCTGTTCATTCTTTTGTTAATTCCAACAAATAAAAGCCATGGTAGCGGATAGGCCTATTGTGGCTTCTAAAGATTTTGGTGTTATATTCGTTAAATCCGGAGGGAAAGACTTTTTCTGCAGAATTTTGTGGCATAGGCTCCAACTGAAACTGGAGGAAGGGAGCAGATCTTAAGGGAATGGTACCACACATTATTACTCTCCTTTTGACATCACAGCACAAACTGCACAAATTTTCAAATCAGGTAGTGGAATTTTTTTTAACTGAAGATATCTAAATGCTGTGTGTTTTCCTTCTGGATACCTTAAAAGTGCTTTAGATACACATTATACCACCACCACTACTAAGACTTTTTTCACAGTGGAAAGGATTATGTGTAACGGCAGAAACACGGAGAATATATGAAGAAGTAATCCATGCAGGTTCCCTGCAGATTAACATTGCTGGAACTCACTAAGTGCTGTCATATATCAGGGCAATGTGCTCCAGAGATTACGCAGACTGCCAGAGGATCCACCACTAAGCTAAGCACAAAGCACTCCAAAGATTCCCATCAATGTGCACCTGTCTCTGCACAGGCCCCCAAACTGCAGCAGGGTTGGACTTTTCTGTAGAACCATGCAGACAAAGGAGTGCATTTCTTGTTTTCTAAGTTCAGAGTAATGTTGCCCACGTATTTTCTTACAGTGTCTCTGAAAATTGATTCTTAAGTGAAATACAATCTAAACTGCATGTGTGACTTATGTAATAAATATTTGTGGCAGTACCATTTAAAATATTAATGCACATTTCCAAGCCATAAAGGCTAATCTTCATAGCACTACCATCATCAGTAAAATAAAGTTACATATTTTGCTATAAGTGTTATCCTTCTGTCCCCATGCCTGCCTCCAACGTGAGGTAAACAACCTAGAAAGAGTTCGGAAGCATCCAAATGTCCCATTTTTAAATTGGAAGCAGGTGTTACAGAGCTAGCAAAATGATGTCCTGTACTTCTATATTCAACAGCTGCAGAATAGAATATACTTGACATTATAAGAAAGGCTGGGCATTCATGGGCCAGGTAGCTTTTACCACAACATGAAAAACAGCCCACCAAGGTAAGCTACTGAAATCCAGCCTTGAATACCAAGGTATTCTGCACTGGTAGATAGTGAAACACTAAAATTGGTTACCCAGAGAGGATTTGGAATTACCATCCTTGGAGATTTTCAAGACAAGGCTAAGCAAAGACATAGCTGACCTCTTATGCTGTTGTCAGGCTACAAGCAGAAAGTTGGACTAGAGGTCTGCTCCCATGATGATTCTGTTTTATTGCTATGACCTTCAAGAAATATGTTCCCTTCCCTGTTGTCCACGTCCTCTGAAAGAGAGGCAGAAGTGGACAAATAAATTCCAGAGAAAGAGCATAAGACAACATACCAAAGTTAAAATGTAACAGGCAGAATTGCAAGGTCAAGCAGTTGGCTTATTCCTTTCTGAGCAGGGACGACAATTACTTTGGACTGTTAGCACAGACTGATAGGTATTAGGTTATCCTGCAGCATCAACCACAGTGTGCTTAACTTGTCATGCTTATAGACAGTGGTGATAGCTTATGCCAATGTTAAGATAAAAGGTTAAAAAAAATCCCTAAAGAAAACAACCAACATTATGTGGGGAGCTTAACAAATTGGATGATTTTATTGGAAAGCCACCTTTACTGCAGTTGTTTTCCAAACTTGCTTTTCTATCATCTCTGCTAACGAGAAAAAGTTCCCACTGATTGCCAGCAGTGAAAATCCTAAATCCATAAAAAAATTATCACTCAGGCTTCAGGACCACTTTAAAACTGTAGCAAATCAATCACAGAACTTAGAAAACATTTGTTTTTCATCTGATGTAATGTAGAAACATAAATAAAAATGACTTATTGCATATTAGCATTCCTGTGAATGTGAAATTCCCATATATTGTTTTCTAGCACTAATCATTTGTTACATAATGCTGTTAAAGCCGCTCTTATTGACACCAACATGAAAACATAGGAAGATGTGAAGTTTCAAGTCTTTAATTTTAACCTGATTCTGTGACAAGCTTACTGAAACACTGTCATACAAGTACTTTTCTGAAGGCACGGGGGACAGGCACATCTATGTGGCTGAAGAAAGAACCCAAAGCCAGGTCACAAAGCCAGGTGTACCTGGTTAACTTTGAACCTCGCATCACATCATGCTTTTCCTGCACACCTCCCGTGTATACAGAGACAAAAAAATACCGAAGCTGAGATTCATTCACCTTGCAGCTTTAAGGAGAGAATTTCCCCCCAGTACTGGCCATGATAATTCTCTAAATGCACAATATTTCCTGTACTTTATTCATATAGTTATTTATTGATTACAATACCTGCAGCGTACACTGACCTCAAGAAGAAACATTCCTTCTTGACTTTGCTGGTAAATCCCACAGAAAGAATTAACAGCTTTTCACAAACTTTAAAAGGGAAAATCCTCCAGTCTCCTAAAGACACAGAGCTTGAGAGCTCTGCCTTGGGAGGCAAAAGGGCACTAAAAATGCAGGAAAAAAAGTGCCTTTCTCTGAAATATTCACTCCTCCACAGGATTTAGCTGCTTTTGTCTCCAGGTTTCTGACTAAATGTCACTGAACGCCAGACAAAACTAAAAGATAAGCTTACCAAAACTGTCGCAGCAGCTGCTTGCTGGTCCCTGTTAGTTTTGCAATACTGAAGAACTTCCTCACATTAAACAGCATCTTCCGTTCGCGTTAGACTTCTCTCGGTCCCACAAATAAAATTAAGAGAAACAAGGGCATACGAAGCACAGAGCGAGCTGTGCTGGTGTGCAAACGAGGGAAAACCGGTGGGGGCTGACACCAAAGCTGTTCCTTGGTCAAACCCTACAGACAGAGATTTCTCACAGGGCCCATTGCACCACTCGCAGTTTGTGCTCTTCTCTGTGAACCCATCCTATCATACCTGTGTCAATACCATTTTGCAGCAATTTCGTGTTTGTTAAATATTTGTACAAGAGCATGTGCTAGTAGAAAAAGGCAAAAGATTTGTCAGGGCGCAGCACGAGTGGGGCGGCTTCCGTGGGGACAGGACCGGGAGCGTGGGGGCTGCCTGGGCCTCGCAGGGCCCGGGCAGGGACTGATGGCCCCACGCGGAGCCGAAATGAGGGTCCTGGGCGCAAGGGTGTGGGGCTGGGCAGGGCCATTAAGGCTTATTTGTGCCCTCAGGGCCCTGACAAGAATGGAGAAGGGCTATATAAAAAAATTTATATTTTCCTGGGGGTTTTTTTTGACCAAGGTTTCAGTTGTGCTACGGTAGTGTTACACAGTCCTCAGTGAGGCCCAGAAACGTCAATACTGCGGCCTGCATACCTCCTTACGTTAAATCGCTTGCTGTATAATCTGGTGTTGGTCAATCGCTAAATACTAAGTGATTTCATTTAAATTTCGACCTTCAAATATAATTGCCAGATAAGATTTTATGCCACCTGCGTTGTAGGTGGTTTTGAAATACGACCATTACTTTCTCGTTTCCTCCTCTGTGTAAGAAGCGTACTTGTGTAAATCAAGGTGATGGCATATCTGTCAGAGAAAGCGATATGTCGAAATTGCAATGCGAGGATCATATAATTAAAACACATAGAAAAAAAGTTTGACTTCCCCAGAAAGAGGGACTGCCGTGAAAAAGTCATACAGGGCGATAGCTCTTGGTGGGATTTGTTCAGGACCCCTCACACCAAACCAAGCCTGAGATGCTTGGAAAACGCAGCAGTTGCCAGGGGAAATGTCAGGCAGAAGCAAAACCCAACAGAAATTAATGGGAAGAGAATGCATGCAGTGGCTGTCCAAAAGCAAAAGCAAAACCAAATGCCTACTCTATAAACAGCCTTTCTGCACTCAGTGGTGGCCAGTGAAGACTTCCAGGAGCTCAGCATCTGGCCAGTCGCAGACACTGCTGTTTGCCTTCCTTGTCATTCCTTGTTCAAAGACCTCCTTACCAGGGCAGCCATCCTACCAGCAGAGATACATTTGTCCCACTTTGTGAGACAGCTCCCATCTCTCCCAACCAGATGTTGATCGTCAAATAGGATCCCACAGTCATAGAAACCAAAACCCTCCTGCAAACACCTTCTTCCCATGATTCTTCCTAATAATTTCACAACCCATTTATATTCTTGGCAACCACAGTACCTGGTAACTACAATCTCAGGCATCACTTTGTGGAACAATGTTTGTTAAGTTTTATTTTGAACAGCTTTTGTGGCTATCCCTTCATTCCAGGCTTAGGAGAAGCAGCTAGGGCAGAAAGCATCAGAGGGATGTTGGGGTTCAAACAAATGAAATCCTTGCCTCATGTAGGGGCAAAAATCACAAACACTTTCTGTTTGCTATTGAAAATGTGGCCACCCTTCCTTGTGTGTACCTATATGGATACCTCATCTTATGCACCAAGAAGTGTATTCATTAAACTCTGCATAAAACAAGGCTTAAATTGGTTGTCCAGGTCGCCAGCTGCAGCCTTCATTGCAGTACATCATCCTGAAAGCAAGACCTTTTTCTTTCAGCAAGGGATGACCTGGCATATCTGAAACACACAGTAATAGCAAGAAAATGGAAATCCATAAACAATCATAGATTTTTGGAAGGGAGGGAAAAGCTCCACTGGGAGTTTGGGACTGCACATTACAGATGGTTAAAAGGCTAGAAGCCCCTGGACTTAGGCCAGTGGGGTCTGCAGAACTGCCATCACCTAAGTGACCCTGGCAGGGTGGATGGTTGAACGTCTTCTCGTGCACTCAATCAGAAGACTTTACACAGACATCCTGGTGAAGGAGAGACCATCAGAGGAAACTTGTCTTTAGGACAGAAGAATCCCAGCAGCGACAAAATAAAGTTTTTGAGCTGTTCTGTGTTCACTTGGGAGAGGCAGGGCAGCCCCTCCAATCACCCCGCAAAGCAAGCAGATGTATCAGGAGCCTGGCTTGGCTAAGCAGGGAGCTGAAGGCAGAGCCCCAGTGCGAGACGGCTGCTTCTGGAGCGGGATGCAGGGACAGGCTAGAGGAGGGAGACAGAACCGATGCCCAGGTATGTAGGACAGTGCCAGGAAAAAAAAAAGCTCTGCTAGAGATGAGACTCATAACGGGCCTTCGAAGGAAGTAATGCTTCCCTCCTTTCAGCACCCGTGGACCCCAGCCCGGTTTGTGCTCTCAGTACCTGCAAAGGCA